CCCCTGAAAATACTGAATATACTAAATATAATTACAGTTTGTGACATGAACAGTCGGGTAAGCACCATTCACATAAGAACCTGTTTAGGCTAACTTGGAAAAAAATCTAGGTTCTTATTAGATGCAGGGTTTTACTGTGTTGTCTGATTTCATGTCACAAAACAGGCCATGCCAGCTTGTTCTGACAATATATATATATATATATATATATATATATATATATATATATATATATATATATATATATATATATATATATATATATATATATATATATATATATATATATATATATAATTGGTTTGGTATTTTTACTTGTTTGTTTCAAGGTTTATAATCTACATATCAACAACAGTCACTTACCTAATATAATTTTATCATTAATTCTGTACAGACCTCAATCACGACTGAATCAGTAAGCTTAAAAGTATATCAATCATAGAAGTTAGTGCCAGAGAGTGCTCAAGCCTAAACGAGCATATATAAAGTTAAATATTTTTCACGTGTTTGTTTCACAAAAACAAAAAAAACACGTGAAACAAACACGTGAAAAATATTTAACTTTATATATATATATATATATATATATATATATATATATATATATATATATATATATATATATATATATATATATATATATATATATATATATATATATATATATAGATAAAGATAAAATAAACTTGGTTTACTTCATAAGATTTATTCACTACAAACTTGTTTCGTATGACAAGCAATGCTTGCCACACTCATCAGGTGAATTTAAATGTCGCGCTATGTTGTTGCCAAGGTTATATATACACTATATACATGTTTGGCGTAAACGGAATGTTCAAGTATTAAATGACGTATAGATTACATATATATACAGATTATATTAAGTAATGTATATTGCTTAAGAGAAATTTGTTTCTGTCTGCATTTCGACAAAAGTTCACTTCTTGAATTTAAAGAACAAAGTTCAGGGTGGTAGATTATGATGAATTTCTCATGTGTACAAAGACTGCAGCGTTTCGTTGTGTTGTTGTAGCTCTTGCATTGCTTAATAATACGCCAGTTTATGGAGTACTTGACCTTCGACTCTTTAAGCTGCCAGATGTATTTGCTCAGCTCTGTGGCATTTCTATACTTGCTTAATCTGAATGAGCTAGTGTGGCAATAATATCTGGATTTGAACTGCAAAGTATCAATTCAAATATTTTGATCCATACTAACTTAAATCAATGGAAAAACACGAACTCTGTTATTTCATGGTTTAAGAATTTACCTAACAAGTCATCTCGTTCGTTCATTTGTTTTGATGTCGTAGATTTTTATCCATCCATTACCGAAGAGCTGCTTCTTAATGCCTTAACCTTTGCTTCCCAGTTCAACACCATCACGGATGAAGAGAAGCACATAATAATGCAGGCGAAGAAATCAGTTCTCTTCAGCAGAAATCAAACTTGGCGCAAGAAAGAGTCAGATAGCCTCTTTGATGTAACGATGGGCAGTTTTGATGGTGCGGAAACATGCGAGCTAGTTGGTTTATTCCTACTATCCAAACTTCCTCCAGAATATCGAAATGATATTGGTCTCTACAGAGACGATGGCCTTGCAGCGTTTGACAAACCACCGAGAGCAATAGAAAATATCAAGAAGCAAATTTGCAGAACTTTTAATGAACATAATTTAAAGATTACAATCGAAGCTAACAAAAAATGTGTCAATTACCTAGATGTCACATTTGACCTAAGATCTTCCTCATTTAAACCGTACATGAAACCGGGAAATACGCTTCAATATGTCCATCGTCAGAGTAATCACCCCCCCGCAGTTTTAAAGGCAATTCCTGATGCAATTAACAATCGATTGTCCAACATCTCGTCTGACGAACAAGCATTTAATTCAGCTTGTCCTCCATACCAAGATGCTTTACATAAGAGTGGTTACAACTACAAGTTAAAATACAATCCCCAGCATCCAAAGACAAAACGCACTAGAAACAGAAACGTTATATGGTTTAATCCACCTTACAACTCTAATGTCAAAACGAATATCGGACACAAATTCCTACAAGCAATTGATGATTGCTTCCCTAAAAACAAACCTCTCCATAAAATATTTAACAGAAATACCTTGAAGCTGAGTTACAGTTGCATGCCCAACATTCGTAATATAATTTCTGGGCACAATAAATCTGTAGTAAGCCTAAATAAGCTCACCTCAACAGATGCGTCAACATGCAGCACGAAACCAAGACAATGAAATTGCAGGAATAAGTCCTCGTGTCCACTGCCCGGTAAATGTCTAACATCCAGCGTAGTATACCAAGCAACGGTTGTTAGGAACGATACGAATCAAAAGGAATCGTATGTCGGACATACTGAAGGACAGTTCAAATCCAGATATTATTGCCACACTATAGCTCATTCAGATTAAGCAAGTATAGAAATGCCACAGAGCTGAGCAAATACATCTGGCAACTTACAGAGTCGAATGTCAAGTACTCCATAAACTGGCGTATTATTAAGCAATACAAGAGCTACAACAACACAACGAAACGCTGCAGTCTTTGTACACATGAGAAATTCATCATAATCTACCACCCTGAACTTTGTTCTTTAAATTCAAGAAGTGAACTTTTGTCGAAATGCAGACATAGAAACAAATTTCTCTTAAGCAATATACATTACTTAATATAATCTGTATGTATATGTAATCTATACGTAATTTAATACTTGAACATTCCGTTTAAAAACGTCAAACATGTATAT